TTTTTTTGTTATATTTGTTTAATTTTATAGATCTAAATACTTTTTGGTTCAAAAAATATTTAGGGGCTTAATCATTCAAAATATGAATGTTCATTGGGTTTTTTTCCGGATTTTTTTCACTATTTTACCACTTTAACTAGTTGTACAATTCATAAGAATGTATCCAACATGTTTTATAAAAGTTCAAGAAGTTATTTAACATGTTTTGGAATGTTCAAAGACTTATTTGTTCCAAAAATTGTCCAAGGAGTTATTTAACATTTTTTGGAATGTCCAATGACTTACTTGTTCCAAAAATTGTCCAAGGACTTATTTAACATATTTTGGAATGTCCAAGGACTTATTTGTTCCAAAAAATTGTCCAAGGAMTTATTTAACATGTTTTGAAATGTCCAAGGACTTATTTGTTCCAAAAAAAAGTCTAAGGACTTAATCATTGCAAACAAGAAAGTCCATTGGTTTTTATTGTACTTTTCCCTTAAAAAAATTATGTTTTTTTTTTTTGTTGGGACCGGGATCGCGACCGGCTAACCATAATCGGTTATAGAAATACTTAACCGGGCTTAGTAGACCAGTTATGATCGACACTGTTAAGGCTCGGGACCGGTTTTTTGCCATCACTATTCACGGGACCTGGTTTGGATTGGACCCATTAGCCATCTTTACACGAAATTGGTGGTTGAGTCTAATTGGGCTCATTTGGTCCTTGGATGCGAGATCTGCTGAGGATCTTATCCTTTACATTTTGTATTGAATTTGGGCTTTATTTATGTTGTCTATAATATAATCATAAGTTTAAACTATTATCACTTATATTTATTTTTATATTTTAATCTTTCATTGGTTGTTGTTTAGTTTATTTTTTAGGGTGTGTTTGATGTCAGGTCAGGTCAGGTCAGGTCAGGACAAGACATGACAGGACATGACTGGACTAGACAGAACAACTGTTCAACGTTTGATAAGATAAAACTGGACAGAACAGAACAAGTAAAATGACCAATTTACTTCTGAAGAGTTGTTTATTTTAATTAATTTATGTAATTTATTAAATTATAATAGAATAATTATTTTTTATAACAAAATATATCATTTCAACTTTTCGTCAAAACAATTAAAATGACACCAAATAAAAAGTTTAGATAGTTTTCTATTTTTATTTTTATCTCTTTTCTACATTATTTTTTATCATTAATATATAATAAATTACATAAATTAATAAAAATATAGAAACCGTATAAAAATAATATTTTGAGGACAGTAAGATGAAAGTTTAAGAAATATAAAATACAATAAATAAAATCTAAAAAATGAATAAAATGTAAAAAAGAGACATATTTGATGTTTTAGAAGAGAATTAAGTTTTATTTTGAAGTTATATTGGTAAAATATAAGTCTGTTCCACCTTGTTCCACTCTGTTCCACATAAAATTCAAGCCAAACATGGGACATGAATCCCTATTTGTTCTGTCTTGTCCCTTTCCAGTGTACCAAACGCACCCTTAAGTTTATTTTAGTTTACAAGCTTCAGGAGTTTTTTGTACTTTCTTCTACTTATACCCTTAAGAAATATTAATATTTATTTATCATTGTTAATTATTAACAACATTTATTATTAATTAATATTAATTTGAAATCGTTAATTTATTTTAATTGTAAAAATATAAATTATTAATTACTTATAATTACTAATCTACGGTTATTTTTATATTCCTATGATTGTTAACATATTTAGTCTTTAAAAAGTAAATATTACAAATTTAAAAATGTTTTTATAAATTAATAAAAATTAAAATTATATTTTCTTAATTTTATAAATAATAAAATTTGTTAGATAGTTTAGTAAAATAGCTTAATTTAATTATTATTTTAATATCTTCTAATAACTTAAAATAAGCTAACTTGCTTAGGTCTAATACTGGCTAACAAGAAACTTATTGTTGGTACTATATATACAAGTTGGTACAAAACTTGTATGATAGGTCAACTTACGGTAAGTCGTGTGCACCATGGCATCAAGAGTGTTGGGAAGCGACTTGCTCAAGTCATTTGTATAAACAAACAAATTACTACTACTACTACTACAACAACGACTGTATTAATATATATATAGGGTTGGGTTTACGTGAGACTAATGGTTTTTCGTGAGACCCGTGAGACCAATTTATGTTCATTGATCAACTTTATAAGTTAATGATCTAATGGTCTAAATTGACGGTGAGAATTTTGTGATTATTCAGAAGTCTCGTGGCGTTTTGTGAATGTTTAGATTTTCAGATTGTAGATTTAATCCAAGGGTTGATAATTAGTCTTACGGGTCTCATGAAAAACCATTGGTCTCACATGATCCCAAGTCTATATATATATATATATATATATATATATATATATATTTATATTGCTTGAATTTAATGTAAGACGATAACAAATCAGGATTTCTTTTATAACTTATTGATTCTAGAACTTCATAAACTATAAACAAATTATAAGACTTTTATGTGAATTTTTTTAATCACAATAAATTACAAACTTTTACTCCAAACTCAATGGAGAAAAAATTCACTACCTAAGCAGAAGTTATCTATACTATATTATAAAACATTTGATAAAAACTCTTAAAATTATTTTTTATGCATGAAATACTGTATATTGATTCATATTACTTACAATTTCAAGATTACAAGTAAATTATGCACAAGTACAACTTATTAAAGCTCCATGTTTGAATTCGTGTAACTAACTGCGGATAAACATAATCAAATAGAGGATAAACATCTCGTTTTAAAATATAAAAAATCTAAAATATAATTAGAATAATTATTGAGTTCTAACAAAATAATTAATTATTATATCTATAAGAAAATTATATTATTAAACCAAATATAAAGTACTTCGTTATTGAACCTAAATTAAATTATAATAAAAAATTGAATTAAAAACTACACAAAAAATGAGGAATTTGAAATAGTTAATTTGATACTAATATCGATATATTTTTGTCAATGTTTTATTATATCCTTAAATTTATATATTATTAAAAAATAAAAATATCATCATTTTTTTTCAAAATCACATAAGACCATATTATAACATCAACTGAGATAAAGAATAAAATAAAATATTAAAATAAAGATATATCTCGCTACATTGCTTTTCTAGTATATATATAAAACAAATGAACTTAGTAAATTACATATGAAGTAGAATTTTAGGGGGTGTTTGAGATTGCTTATAAAAAACAACTTATTAACTTATTCCGGTGTGATATCGGTAATAAGCACTTTTGAGTGTTTGGATAAACAACTTATACCGATGCCAAATCGGTAATCAGAAGTTTTTGAAGAAGTTAAAACATTCTAACTTATAATAAGTTGATAGACACTTTTGTAGAAAAGCATAAATTGTTTCAGATAAGCAATCCCAAACACCCCCTTAAGAGAGTAAAATACAAGCAAACTTATGATGAACCCAAAAGTATAAAGACTCTTTTTTTATTAACCTGAATATCCAACCCGTTACGTGAGTCGACTAATCTCAAGGTGGCCACATGCTTTGTGGGTAACCTAGAGTTATCGCATTTGAACTTCTGTGGCCACAAGTGGATGTTTATTCCTCTTAGGACTTGAACCTAAGATCTCCAGACACTTTTGACTTTTGAAGCTCAAGCTCAAACCAATCATGCACCACCTTTATGAATTATGATTACAGACTTTTTATCTAAATAGTTATGACTTAGAAAAATGTTTTAGCAATGAAAAGTGATAGAAAATAGAATGGGAAAAAGGAATAATTGGTATGAGTAAGAGGATTCACATGATGGGTCATTTTTTATATGGAAAAAGTAGGAAATTAAACAAGTGGGTTTTTTTTGATGTTGATGTAGTAATTGAAAAATACAAAGGAATAATGGTATTCATTACTAAAATTACAAAACCAAATGCTTAGGTGTCATGCAAAATGACATGAATTAAGTTTGATTAAATTATTGTTGTTCTTACTATTAATACTGTATTTGGATAAGCTCTTATTCGTGTGTTTTTTAAATTATGGTTTGATTTTTAAGGAATTCTGTTCAACTTCATGTTTGTTTTATTCTTAATTTGTTACGATGTAATTTCTCTTATTCATCGATTTTTAATTTTAACTTCTTTTTCGATATATCAGACTCAAATGTATACGCGTGGAATGGGAGGATTTACGCAAGCGTTTTCACACTTTCACATATTCCAAGGGCAAATTGGATGAAAAAGTAACGTGCTTCAATTTGATTCATGTTTTGGGTAACGTACTTTCAAAACTTTCATTTTGGTATCTAAGAATGTAAAGTTTTAACATTTAAGTACCCGGGTAATTAACCGGTTGAAGCATTAACCGATTATCATGCTGATGTGGCGAGTGATGTGGTATTTGGTTAATGCTTCAGCAAATAATACTGAGTTGGACACCACATCAGCATACCAAAATAAAAGTTTTAAAAGTACGTTATTTTTTCATGCAATTTACCCTATTCCATAAGTAAATAGTATGTGAATAAATTTATTTATTTTAAGTTTAAAAAGATCTTTTTATTTATTCTCTTTACGTTTTGGATGGCAAAAAATGAGATAAAAAGATAGTAATAAAACCACGGTTATATCGGTATATTATCAGTAATAGGGATAAAATTTATTATTTTATTAATATGTATGTACTGATTGGTAATTGTCTGAAGAATTAAAGTTATGATATTAATATACATAATATCAAACTTACTTTAACAATTTCAAACCAAAATAAATAAAATAATAGTAACATGGACGAGGTTGATCAAACGTATGCGTTAATTAAGTTCTCCTTTTTCCATTTATGTTTTTCTCTTGGTACCTATATGTATCCGTTTTTCAGTCTTTTTCGCACCATTACAACTACATATCTTAAGTACTCGGAGTTTTGCATGCCCACAGTTGTACTAGATTATGACATGTGAACAAGATGCTTGTTTCAACAGTGATGGTGGTTACGTTATGAGTGGAGAAGGACGACGACCAAGAAAAGAAGAGGGGCTTGATTGGATTAGAACTCTGGCATTTAAACCAGCAAGTTTTTTGAAGAGTTTGAGACCAGAGAAGAACCAAAGATGGAACAAATAATAATAATAATAAAAGAAGAGGGGCCGTTTACCGAACGCTTACCCAGGTAAGCACTTACCAAATTACGTTACCTTACTGGATGAATATGGTAAGAACCAAGAATCTTACATGATAAAAACAAAACAGGGACTGAAAGTCTTGCCCAGTAAGTGAGAGTGACAGCTCTTACCCCGGTTAGTACTTGCCGGGTAAATTGTTGCATACGATGTTGTTTTCGTGGATTAAAATCTTACTCGGTAAGTAAGTGATAGTGTTGAATTTCACAGGTAAGCGCTTACCGGGTAAGTGATTAGGTAAACGGTCCCTAAGTGCCCCCTCATGTTAGAGGCACATGAGGTGGCTAACCGAGAAAAAAACAAACAATGTTAGCAACGAAAACTTAGGGTCTGTTTATTATAGTTTAATAGGACTCACAACTTACATTCAACTATACATGATTGTTTTGTAGTGACTTAATGCTATAGAATGATTCACTAAGCTTATAAGGAGCGAACTTCATGCAGAAAGTCTGGTTTTTTCAACCATGTCCATATAAAAAACATGATCCTTCCACCTATGAAAAAACTCTCTCAAACAAAAACATTTCCAATCTATACAAACAAATAAATCAATAAAACAAAATTTATTTATCCATGCAGAACGTGATGGAAAACCAATCAAACAACCCCTTAATCCATAATGAAATGCAAATTATAGTGACAATCAGTATAATTAACATGTTTGAAGAATATAATGCATAAACTTGTTTAAACCATCAGAAGTCATAATTTTTGATAGGAGGTTCAAACGGAGTCGGTTTTGAACGAAACTTTTTGTGAAACAGACAATGTATAATTTTTTTAAAACGTTATCATTATTAATTATTTTTATTATGTAATTGGATTAACCATCGAAAAAAATATGTATACTTTGTATGCTTATAAAATAGTAAGTATTGAAGAAAACAAGATATGATAAACGTCGTTATAATTTGAAAAAATAAAATCAAGAGCAAGCTTTTGTTGGTCAAAATGTAAATCATTAATTATTTAACATTTAAATTTATTATATTTAATAAAAAAGTAATTTAACAAGACTTTTTCATGACCATAGCATGATGTCTCAACCAATGTATTCTAGAGTTTCTTCTGAAAAATTTTAATTTCTATGCTCGGTTAATATATTTTAAATTTTCTATCTAATACCTAATGCATTTCCAACCTAAAAACACAATTGTGTTTTTAGTGTCGAGACATAATAAAACGAAACAGGACAAAATATAACAACTGTTTAACGCTTGGTAAGATAAAATTGAACACAAGAAAAACAAGTAAAATGACTTATTTACCTTTAATGAGTTGTTTATATATTTTGATTAATTTATGTGATATATTAAATTATAATAAAATAATTATTTTTTATAACAAGTTTTGTCGAAAAATTAAAATGATACAAAAATAAAAAGTTTATGTAGTTTTCCATTTTATTTTATCCCTTTTCTACATTATTTTTTATTTATTAATATATAATAAATTAATAAAATATAGACACCGTATAAAAATAATATTTTGAGAACAATAAAATGGAGATTTAAAGAGAAAAAATACAATGAATAAAATTTAAAGAATGAATAAAATATAAAATATACATATTTGATGTTTTAGAAGAGAATTAAGTTTTATTTTGAGGTTATATTAGTAAAATATAAGATTGTTTCACTCTATTCCATGGGGTAGGGGTGGAACAAATATGTTCCACTTTATTACTGTCTCCTCTACATAAAAACCTTGTCAAACATGAAACAGGAATTCATGATTTCTTTTGTACTATCATGTAATTTAATTATTAATTATTAATTAATATTAATTTAAATTTATTAATTACTTTTAGTTACTAAATATTAAATAGTATTAATTTAAAATGTAAATAATTCATTAATATTGATTATTTAGAGTTATCATTAACTTTATCAAATAATTTATTATTGTTATTCAATATATTTAAATAATTGATCATTCTTTGACATAATTGAAAGAATTAAATTACATCATCGCTCATCCCTTGCCTCCACCAGGACCATGCTACTATTGTTATTGTCACGACCCCTAATCCTCCACTCCCACACCACTATTGTCGTCATCACAACCGTCATCACAACCGTCATCCGCCCTAGCCCAAACCCCAACCAACCAATGATCACCATTCCACTATTATTGTCATCACACCCACCCGCCCCCATCAACCACCTCACATCCCTACTAATACGACGACCATACTACTATTGTCATTGTCACGCTCCTACCCTAACCCCTACCCACCACAACACCATTACAGTTGTCTTCACAACAACCACTCACCCCCACCCCAACCCACCTCACCTCCTCCACATTACAATTCCATCGAATTCTATTTCAATTCCTTCAAAATTAAATCCATTTAATGAATTTCAATTCCACCAAATTACGCCTACCAAGTAAAACGTGGATGGGCACATAAACAAAGAAATTTAAATGAAAAAGGAAATCCAAGACAACATGTCAAAAATCTATTTAAAGTAACACTTCAAATGTAAAATTTAATGAGCTGTTTTATATTATGTTTGATATATATATAGAAGAGCGTTCAAATAAAAACTTGCTCCATTTGTGTAAACCGTGTAAACCTATCTCATCCATCCATTTTCTTGATCAATGACTAAGATTAGTTTACTTTATTTTAGGAAATTAAAAAATAAAAAATATTAAAAATTTATTTTATTTCAATACTAAGGGCAAAATTGGTAAACAAAAATAAATCATTTTATAATGAAACATTTTCACATTGAAACAGTTTCATGAACATTAATTTCATAAAGAACAAAATATAATATGYACCYGTTTCATYATACATTTATTTCATAAAGAACAAAATACATTATGCACCCGTTTYATTTTCATCCTACCAACTAAACGGATCAACTTCAATCACAAAGCAACATGAATCACCATGAAACTAGATCATGAATCATGAATCAATTAGAGCATCAACATTTTCACCATCATGAACCTATTTCATTAACATGTAAAATATGCCTAGAAGAAGCAAATAAACCATTTTACAATGAAACATTTTCACATTGAAACAGTTTCATGAACATGGATGATTTTTTTCCTCCAACCTCAAATCAAGATTTCATTCCATAAGAAGCTAGAATCTTCATACCACGTTTTCCAGATTTATTGAATAACAAAAAATTAAAATCAAGTTTTTAATATTATAATATAATAAAAATTTTAAATGTTACCATTTATATAATTTCCATTATTAAATTTTCTTATTTAATATTTATTAATAACTTCTTTATTTATCAAAAAAATATGGAAAATAACCGAAATATTCTTATTGATTAAATTTAGTTAAAAAAATAGAATTTTTCTATTGGTCGAAATTGATTTACACGGTTTTTTAGAATTATATGGTTTTCATTTGAACATGCCCTTATATATATATACATATATATATATATATATATATATATATATATATATTATTTTAGATACATGGGCCAAGCGTAGAAATTCAAATTTCCCTTTCCTTTTCACCCATGTCACCTTCTTTGCCTATAATATATAATCACACACACTGAGAAGCAAAATAGCATCTATCTGTTCGAGTTCTTAAAATGGAAGAAAACAAGAAAAGCTTGATGGAAACCCTACTTCGAGGCAGAAATTCAGCAAAAACGCTACAAAGTTTACTTCTTGAGAATGTCAAGGATGAAGGGTCGGTTTCTGTTGATGATCTTGTAATGGAACTGTTGGGATCCTTCTACACCTGCCTTTCCATGGTGAACACTTGCAATTCCAACAAGATCTCTCGGGTTTCGACATGTTCTCGTATGGGTAATTTGGCTCGTATCGCCAACTGGCCACTGAAAGTTTACAATGGCAGCAAACCGGCACCCGTTGTCAAGAAAGGAAGAGGCTGTTACAAGAGAAGGTGCTCACATATTCAAACACACACCAACACTTCCTCTTGTGAAAAATGTTCGATTCTTACAACATATTATTAACATATACAGCTGTTATTGGTTGGTTCAAACTATGCAGATCCATGGCTTCCGGAACTACAGTTAGTGATACGATTGAAGATGGTTATGGATGGAGGAAATATGGACAAAAGTCTGTCCTCAACTTCAAATTCCCAAGGTCTCACACTCATTTCTGTGGGCACTCAAAATCAGTAATCTGTCTCAAACTTATATTGATTGCTGTTGGGTTTTGCAGGTGCTATTACAGATGCACACACAAGTTTGATCATGGCTGCAAAGCATCGAAACAAGTTCAGAAACTAGAAGATGAAGAATCAAACGTGTTCCATATCACATATTTTGGTCATCACACATGTCCCACTACACCTCCACAAACTTTTTCACACCATGGACCTGTCATTAACTTTAAAGATTTCAAAAACCATCAGTATTCGTCAATTAGCATCCCCGCGACCGCCATAAATATCCACTTTGATCCCTCGTTTGAACAAAAAGATGACATCAATATGTTTGACAACGTTACGTCAACCAACCTGTTTGCAGCTTTTGGATCAAAAGACACATCTGGTTATGATATGAATGCATGCCACGAGTTTGCATCTTTCATGGGTTTTAACCATGGGGGCTCTTATGCATCCAAGAGCTCTTGGGACAATCTTTTTGAGAACAATGATTTTTTGAACGATATACCACTTGATGACACCATGTTTTCGGAGTTGATTTGATGGTTGAAACTATTCGAAATAGATCACAACTTTTATCACACACGATACGACAAGCTATAACAGCAAGAAGGTTCTAAGTTTCACTTTTGTTTCGAGTAAAAAGTTGTCGGTCTTTTCGTAACTTCTAGTCATATAAACATCGCTATAGCTTATAGTTCATTATCTTTTGCTCACGTTGCTGGATCGATGACAATACCATCTAAACGTCATGGTGAAATAGTTTCACAAAGTCTTGCTTCTTGTGGTTGGTTGTTTCCACAGCGGAGTTGTATTTTCTCTATTTAATTTTGATCTGAATAAAAGTAGTTTTTGATGCACTTTACGGTATGAATATTGTTGGTGATTATTAGTAATATAATCAATCTTCATCGTTCTGTCATCCAGTTACAATAATATGTTAATTCATGTGGTACTCAGTTCTCCCGTTTTGCAACCCAAACAAGCCGATGAAATTTAATCAATAACAAGACAAGTCTTGGAGTTGACCAAATATATATAATAATTGGACTTTAATCATATCAATCGAAAGTCTTAAGAAACGACATGATTTTCCATATTCGTAAAACATAGTTAATTCATAAGGAACATGGAACAATTAAGATTATCCCGAGTTTTGACTTGCCGAAACATATAATTATCAGGAATAGAGAAAATATCTGAACGGTGAAAATACAGATTTTGAAGATTCTGTTTGTTAATTTAATAGATTTTCCGTAATTAAAAAGTAGATGAGAGAGATGGTAAAATTCTTCAAATTTGAAGAGATCTTTAAAACTACTGCTTAGTAAAGAGAAATGATGTTTTATTATTTTCATCGATAAGAATTATTGAAACTAAATGTTTAGGATAGTAAAATGATATTTTATTACAAGCACTACAATAAAATTGGGCTCTATACATAAGATGCCTAGATTGTTTAAGCGTCCTAATAAAATAATCTGTAGAACTTAGGTTTATATGACAAAACTATAAATCGTCTTATATAAAAACATTACAAAAGGTGTATGTGAACGCTTTTAGGCGTTTTAACAAGTTTTTATGACTTTTTTATAGTAAGATGTCCTATTAACAATTTTATAGGACCCTTTTGAAAAATGTAATGTAAAACCATTTTTTTATATGATATTTGTGTTTATAAGTCACTTTTTCAAATAGTGTTGAATAAAATAATGAATTCGACACTTTATTTTGAAAAACATCCTAAAAACACTTGTTAAAACATATAAAAGCGTTATAAGAACTTATTGTAACACTTTTTGTATGATCCTATAAACTTAAATCTTATAAAATATATTTTTAGGACTTTCTAAGTTTTAGACACCCTATAAAATCAACATTGTTGTAGCGAAGTATTGAATATTTTAGTAATATAATTAATATAGTAAACTCTAAGATCAAGTAACTGTTGGAGTTGAATACAATTTTTTTTTTTAAAATTATGAGTTTTGATTCTCCATTTTCTTAAGATTTTGGAGAATTTGTTGAAGATACTCTTAGGTTACATCATTCTTGGTTAGGTTAAACTGTAATTTGGAAAGTTTTTATTTTTGGTCTAGATTTTGAGTCTTTTTAACTCTTCGATTTCTTGTAAATTATTAACTGGGAATAGGTTTTTTCTGGTTAATCCAATTTCATGTTTGTTGTAAATCGAATCTACATATATATCGGGACAGACACACTTTTTTGTGGGTTAGCTGAGGAAAAACCTTCGGAATTTTTACCATTAGATGTGTCTCCAATCACTTAAATCTCTAGATTCGTCACTGATCACGTCCCAATTTTCCATGTTTGTGTTCGGTTTATATGTTCAAGAAATTGCAAGATCTCTCAAAGGTACCCCCAAAAAGTTGGCGTTTGATTCATTTTCTTAGAGCATACAGATTTGCTATATATTAATTATGTCACTTCTTCCAAATTTAGATATTTCTCGTTTCTTTCTACTGTTTTTCTCTATTTTAGAGGAGATGACTTTAACATAGTTGTTAAAGCAAACATTTTTCCAAATTATCTAAAATAGTATAGCTGTTAGATATGCTCGTATAATGTTGGATTGTTGAAAAAGAGCCACAAAACGTTTAGTTTCATGTATTCATAGGCATTAGATTTAATATTTATCTACATCTTTACTTATTAGAAACTTTCTGAAAACCCATAAAATTGTGATAACCTTGAAAACTTATATATCATATACTATTTTATATGATTTTTTGTTATTGAAGCCAGGATTTAGACTATCAATTAACATATATTTGTTTCACAATGTTTTTGTTTTACATGTAAACAGTTTTAGCTTGTCACTACTAAAAAAATGGGTATCACCGATGAATTTTTCTGACGGAAGTTTCGTCGGAAAAATCAGTGACGGAGTTCCGACGGATCCCAAAATAGTCAAGAAAAGATAACTATTATCGATTTCCGCCACAAATCCGTCACTGATTTTTTTTTTTAAATAAATTTTTATTTCGATAACTTTCCTGACGGATTGTACCGTCGGAAAACCCCTTTTTTAGTAGTGTGTTTGATAAAAAAAATATTATATTATAAACCGCATTTATAAGAAGCAAATAAACCATGAAAAAAATATATGTTTATGAATAGATTAAATAATAGTTTTAGATATGATAAAAAATCAGATGAAATAATAATTAATATATGAATTTACTATTATAAATAGTGATTGGTTTGGTAAAAGTTAAATGATGAAAGAAAATGTTGGATCTGGTTTGACTGAATTGAAAGACGTGTCTGCTTTTCCTTTTTAGTTGGAATGTAAATTATTTAAAAAATCATCAATTTTCTATTTATATAATTTTTTAACAATTAATTGAAATGATGGATTCCGACCAAAATTACTTTAAAACGTTATCAAGTTCCATTTTACATTCACATAATTAAACAATTATTAAATAATATATTAAATTATTAATATATTAGTCATAGAAAATGACAAAAGACATATCTAAAAGTATAATGGTAAGATATAACTAAGGGGCTGTTTACCAAACACTTACCCGGTAAATGTTTATCGATAAAATTTAACATTATTATTTACTTAGCGGGTAAGATTTTAGTTCATCAAAACGACATCGTATGCAACAATCTACCCGGTAAGCATTTACTATGGTAAGAGTCGTCGCCCTCATTTACCGTGTAAGGTTTTTGGTCCGAAAAGAAATATTCAAAGTTGATGGTTGCATGCAGGACTATGAAAACTTCTTTTTATCATCACTTTCTTTGTTTTGGTAAATGGTTTTGTAGTCACTTTCGAATGTCTGTTGCTATTAATATAGAAAACCATTAAAATAAGACCATTGACAATCTTGTATCTGACTCAAGGTATATATATGTCTTTGCTAATTTTGTTCATTGGCTAATTAAGGTCTCCTTAATGATAATGACCTATTTTTTAGTGATACAATTAATATATTGATTATAATTATAATAAGGTATTAAATTGAACATTCTAAATCACGTGTGGCGTAACATTGTGGCGAGGTCAAGCCTCAATTCTTACAAGTTACTGTGAGGTTATGACATTTTTCAAGGTGTGAACTAAGGCGATATATATATATATGGGCACGTTCAAATCACAACCGTGCATTTCTAAGAAACCGTGTAAACTAATTTTGACCAATAGGAAAATTCTATTTTTTTCTAATTAAATTTAATCAATAAGGGTATTTCGGTCATTTACAATATTTTCTACTAAATATGAAAATTATTAATAAATCTTAATTAAGGAAACGTAATTAAGGAAATTTTATAAATGGTAACATTTAAATATTTAATTATATTTTAATATTTAAAATTTGAACTAAATATATTGTGATGCAATTGAATCTGCTGGTGAATCTTGAAGATTGTAAGTCATAATGTAATGAATTCATCAAATCATAGTTGGACAAAAAAATTAATACAAATGAAACATGTTTCATGAAGGTGAAACTGGTTCATGTCGCAAATAAAAAATGAATAGTGAAACATTTTCATGATGAACCCGTTGCATTAATGGTGTAGTTGATTCATTTAGTAGGTGAAGTGGAAAATGAAACGGGTGCATAATGTATTTGGTTCGTCATGAAATAATTGCATGATGAAACGGGTACATAATGAATCTGCTATAGAATCTTGAAAATTGTAATTTGCTCCAGAATCTTGAAGATTATAAGGCTTAAAGAAATGAATTCATCAGATTAGGGGTGAAATAAGAAAATTAATGTACATGAAATAGGTTTCATGAAGGTGAAACTGGTTCATGGCGTTATTGAACATTAGTAGTGAAACGAGTGCATAATGTATTTGGTTCGTCATGAAATAATGCATGATGAAACGGATACATGAAGAAACTGCTCCAAAATATTGAAGATTGTAATATGCTCCAGAATCTTTATGATTACAAGGCTTAAAGAAATGAATTCATCAAATCAGGAGGAAATAAAGAAATTAATTTACATGAAACAAGTTTCATGAAAGTGAACTGGTTTGATGGTGAATCCCGTTTCAGTGACGTTGAAATGCAAAATAAAACGGGTGAATAATGTATGCGGTTCGTCATGAAATAATTACATGCTGAAACGGATTCATTATGAAACCGGTGCTTCTTGAAATCATTTCATAATGAATAGAGTGCATATTTACATGGTTGTGTGAAGGACATTGAAACAATTTCAGGATAAGGAATAAAAAGGCTGTAACATTAGCGAAAAATGAATAAAGTTCATTATCAATATCATGAAATAACAAATGACGCATCAAACCATGAGTAAAATTTCATGTTTTATCATAAARTTCTATGAACGCATTAAACAGTTAAGACAATGAAACTATTTCATGTTGTATTATAAAATTTTATGAACTCAGTAAACAATGAATTTTTTTTGTTATCTAAATGTAACGGATCCATCTACCAGTATAATGAAAATTACGAAATATGATCAGTATTACGTTGATTAGTTTGTTGATGAAATTTTGAAACCAATTTCGTTCATATAATGTAATTC